TCTGCTCCTATGATGCTGCTTGGCCTGCTGTGTTCATCCAGCCCTGCACCTTGTTGTCTCAGAATGGACCAGTGTGGGCCAAGGGGCCTGTTTCCATGCCATATTACACTGACTCTACTTCACTGTCTGTAAAATACTTTGAAGTATCTAGTATTCATGAAAATGCTGTACAATACCAGTGTTTTTTTAAACACTGGGAAGATGGAAGGCACTAAAACAACTTTCCTTCTTAGCCAGTCAGATGCCTGTCTGCAAGGCTCCCTGCTGTATTATTAAATAGGTGACAAATGTTAAAGATGCATAGAAGGATTCCATTTTCCTCATGTGGGATGGGAAGGGTGTGGCCTAATTTCTGATTATGGGTGTTGGTTTTATGGTAACTTTTTTTATTTCATCATGCAGACCAGATCTGTCTATATTGCAACATAGACAACTTTGTTTCCAGTTTATATTTTTTTAAAAAAAAGGCAAAGTAGCTGCAGTAAGTTATTGTCCTTTTTTCTGTACCTGAACCTAATGACCCACAAGAGCAGGCTTGGATAAGTGTTTTTTTTCTAATCAACCTCTTCAGAGATCTTGTTATACACCTTTGGAGCAGATGGGACTTGAACTGGGTCAGGTGTAGGGGTAATATAACTGCACCAAAAGGGACCTGCTTGGACATTATTTTTGTTCTAATCAACTTTGTTCAAAAATGTTATTACGCCTTCTGGAACAGGTAGGACTTGAATCTGTGCCTTGAGCTTTTTGGAAGTACTGTAATGCTCACCAAAGTCAAAGGAAAATTTGAATTTATATATAGCTTCCATATTTGACCTCCTAAAGTGGTGGCCAGAACATTGATTCATTCTTGTATCTAACTGTTTGAAATGGACATGCTGGGTTTTTTTTAATCTTGTCTTGAAGTTACAACCTTAGCTGCCTGAGAGATAAATGATAGCTAGGACACTTAGTCAACTAATGTTTCCTCTATTGCACCACAGTGTTTGAATTAATGCTGGGACAGTAATGGGAATTATTTGTGGCCAATATCTTACCTGAACAATTTAGATAAAGCATCAGAGTTGGGGGATGATTTGTTACAATATCACTTTTTTTCTGAACTGAGTAGGGTAACTTGTGTGTTTCCAGGATCAACTAAACCTATGTTGAAATTGACTGTCTATTTTGAATGAAGTTGCATGCCTTTTTGCTAATAAAATGTTTGCCTGTAAAAGGCTTTGCAATGCAGCACTATGTATTTTGCTTATGACATTGACCACTTACTTGTGGAGCATGACCTTTTGTTTTTTACAGATTCCCATTTTAAGTGTTTTTTGTTTTTACACAATACTTTCTGCACTTGTGAAACATCATTCTCATGACACGAATATTCTTACTACTTACATCCCCTACCAAAGTAAGCAGAATTAAATTAATCTTTTTACATTGCTCTTCTCCTAACACAAGAGGGCTGAAATCTCTCATTCTTCAGCATTTTTTGTTTTTTGTTTTTGCTGTTGAAATGCCTTTATAAATTACAGTTAAAACCAAATTGATAGTTAATGATCTGTAGCTAATTATGAAAAACGATGCCTTGTCCATCAGGCATCTTTAATTGTAACTCCATCTTTAAAGATGACCATCTTGCCTCCTTTGTGTTATTTTTCTGAATTTAAGATCCACAAAATGCAATTTCTTTGAACAATTTAAAAGTTAAATTTGTGCTGTATTTTCAAGCATGAATGCTAACTGTTAGGTAAATTTGTCTATGTTCAGTGCCCAACCAAGTCTCAATGACTAGTTTGTGTTCCATTTGATCCCTGTAAATCATTGCTTGATCCCTGTAAATCATTGGACACCCTGAAGAAACGTTCAGGTAATCAATGCTTTTTTTTTAAAAGTAAGGTTTATTGATGTATGCAGGAGAAGAGTGGCAATCTTCTAGGGAGCTGGCTGGGGAATGAAAAAACTAAGTAACTTTAACAAGCCCAGCTATTAAAGTAGTGCTGATGTATACTGAAGCACAGGAAAAGCTGCATAGCTTTAAAATGTTCATAGATTGCTGTAATTTGAGTCCCTTCTTCATTCCTTTGAGAAACTTGGCTACGCTTTGTTCAAAATGTGGGCAGGGCACAAATTGCTTAGTCACTTTGACTTTGCAGAAAACAATGATTGTATAGTTAACAATTTGTAAATTAGATTTTTCTTGTAGAATTATCAATGTATTTGTGTCCTCTAGAGATAACTAAAACAAGTTCATTATTTGTTGACAAAAGCATTTTAAGTCAAACCAGACAATCTACCATTGGGATTATCCTTCCAATAAGTGTTACCTGCACTGATTAGTTCTTGATTAGCTGACAAATTACTTGAGGTTTTTGTTTTAAAAAGAAACAAACTGCAGTTACAAGAGAAACAGAATTTTTAAAATGTGGCAGATGGAAGTGCAAATATTCATCCTCATTAAACAAAGGGGTGGCACAGTGGTTAGCACTGCTGCCTCTCAGCGTCAGGCACCCAAGTTTGATTCTAGCCTTGGGTGACTGTTGGTTGAGCTGAATGACCTGCTTCCACACTGTGGGGATTACTGTAGAAATATGGGGTAATTACAGGCATCATTTGTTTTGTTTAAGTATCTTTTCTCCAGGTGGTTTTTTGATGTCAGTGTGTTTCTTTGTACTTTAAATTCTCTCTTCCTTTTTTACATTTGGTATAAATATCACTTAATTAAATGTTGCTTTTTCATGCACAGCCATTGATGCGTACAAGCCTCAGGATGCCACAACCAACCCCTCACTCATACTTGCTGCTGCTCAAATGCCAGCTTATGAAAAGCTACTTGATGATGCTATTGACTATGCGAAGAGTTGTGGCGGGTAAGACCACTTTTTTAACCTAAAGCCATAGGGATGAAATTTTTTTAAACATGAGTTGTGACCTAACACTGGGTTTTTTTTAAAAAAAAAATGGAACAGTAGGCACCCCTTGAATACAGTAAATAAAAGATTGAAACTGAAAGAACTGCAGATGCTGTAAATCGGGAACAAAAACAGAAGTTGCTGGAAAAGCTCAGCAGGTCTGGTAGCATCTCAAGAAAAAAATCAGTCAACATTTTGGGTCTGGTGACCCTTCCTCAGGTGTCTATGTAATACAAGATTGATTTTGTTGGAAAACCTTTTTTTTCCTTCTGAAACCAAAAGACTGATTAGTGTGCTTGGTAGTTTTGATGCGAGTTATCTTTTCTCCATAGAATTGCTAACATTTCCAATTTGCTACCTTTTTGAAGCAAACTGATATTGTAGTGACAAATTTGTTTGGGTGTCAGTTTTGTTTAGTTCAAACTGTGCTATTCCTTCTTAAAACACATACACTTCTGGTACTACATGCATGTTAGATAAAGTAACTTTTCATGTTTTCATCCTGTGGTGTAGTTGACCACTGTCCTGCTCTAGTGACTGTCCTGTAGCTGGGAGGAGCTATAGTCAAGAAGTCACCTTCTTCTCTAGCCAGTTTATAGCCAGAGAATAACCTGCTGTGGCTTCCCACTTCACCCAAATGCTGTTCCTCGTGACATCCTCTGGAAACATATCAATTCCAGATATACATTAACAATCTGTGTAATACTGTACCATTTCTCTTCAGCCCTCCACTGTCTCTAAATTGTCTGACATACAATGCGAGAAGCTCTGCCAAATAAATAGTGGGAAGATCAGTGCAATTGTCATCAGCCTCCACCACAACCCTTGTTCAGAAGCTACTGGATTGAACTTGTCCTTTTCTAAGGCAGCAACTTGAGACTGAGCCAGACTGACCCATGATAAGCTGTAGACCAGTATCTATACCATCTTCAAGATATTGTATTTACTCACTGCCCATAAATGTGTAAAACTCTTAAAAGACTTTACACAATAGAATTTTCTGTGCCTAGGGAGTCTAAAATTTAGAGATGGGCTTACATAGTCTGAATAAGACACTGGTAGTTTTGAACTGGGAGAAACCTCTTTTTTTGTCAGAGGTTATGAACTTTTGTAATTCTCCACCCCATTAGGACTGGATGCTCAATTTGCTAGTGATTTACTTTCTAAACAGAAGGATTAGGGTATGTCATGAGAAAGTTGAAGCTGAGGTAGAAGATCAGCTAATTGGCAGGGCAGACCCTGAGCAGAATAGTGTACTTTGCTCCATTGGTTATTCTTTTTAGTTTTCTATAATAACATTAATTCTGCCTCCACTTACCTGCTGAAATACTCACTCCTGCCTTAGTCACCTCTAGACATGACAACTCTTCCAATGCTGTCTGACTGAGCCTTCCATCTTCCTCCCTGTATGACCTTGGGTTCGCTCCAAATTCAGCTCCCCACATTCTAACTTGAGCCAAGTTCCATTAATTCTCATTCTCGACATCAGTACTCACCTGACTTCCATTTGTTATTGGGTTACTCAATACCTAAGTAGAAATTTCCCTCCTTGTCTTCAAAACCACCACCATTCTCTTCCCTTTTTTCCCCCCCCTCATCCTTGTCCTCCCACCCCAGCCATTTTGTGATCAGTTATCCAGTGTGGTAACATGTTTGTGCTCTTAGGTTTTATGAACTATCGCTTTGAGCAGCCTTTCAGCTACCTGTACTATTAACTCCTTTTTTATATGGTTTGGTGTCCAGTTTCTTTTTGGTAATGTTGCCGCAAAGTGTGATGGGATCTTTTTAGTTGTATAACTTGCTGTATTCCTGTGGTATCTTTGAGGACCAGTGATCAGAATTATGGTGGTTTAACTGATCATCTTTCTACCTGACTAACTGTGTAGCAGTTACCTACAAGTAAAGTCCACCAGTGTCCTCATAGAAATAGAATATTCCATAATGATTCCCAAATCCTACAATCTTTTTCATTTTTCTCCTAACCTTCACCACCAGCCCCTGCCTGCCACCGCAGCTTCCCCCCACCCACAAACATTGTGACAGAGGCTCTGACCATTCTAGCTGCCAATGTATGAATATTCAGTTGCATCAGTTTATTATGTGATACCTGTTTTGGATTGAATGGTCTTGCTAGCTAGCCAAAGTCCTGATTTAAGGATACATCCAGTTACTCTTGTTGCTTTTCTTGACAAAGCCATCAGCATTTCTTGGCTGTTTTTTTAAATTAACATTTTGATTGAATTTGTAGTGGCTATGCTGGCTTTGTTCATTGTTCCTTTTGTAAAGTCACATGCCTATAATCATTCTCATTTCAGTAAAAGTTTTAATTGCAGTTCCATTTCTTTGCTTGCACTTTCTCAAAGAACATGCAAAATGAAGTAGGAGAATACAGTTCAATGTTTCAAACCTGCTCCACTCATTAATAATAAGAGTGAGGAGGTGGGGTGGTAGTGTAGTGGTGCTGTTACTGGGTGAGCAATCCTGAACTCCAAGCTGATATTCCAGGGGCATGGATTTGAATCCACCATGGCAGATGGCAAAATTTGAATTCATTAAGAAAATCCAGAATGGAAGAACAAATGCTATCCTAATGGCAACTATGTAACAACTGCTGATTGAACGAGGTGGATGTTTGTGACACTAGTGTCCTTTTTTAGGGAAGGTCTTCTGCTGTCCTTAGCGTGTCTGGCCTATGTGACTAGAGCTGTAGCAATATTGTTGACTATTAACTGGCATCTGGGGAATTGGGGATGGTCAATAAATGATGCCCCTATCCCATTATTGAATAAACAAACCTCCAGTACACTTAATTTAATACTCCTAAATCCACTGATTTCTGTCTTGAACATATGAATAAAATGAACCTTGACAACAGATAATCTAAAGATTCTCAACCTTTTGACTATAGGAGTTTCTACAGAAATAGAACACTCATCTGGATGAATGCAGATCTGACAATGCACATTAACTTTACGCTATCTAAAATAAATTAGCATGCTTGATTAGCATTGTATTCGCAATTGTTCATTCCCTGCACTGCTGCCACTGGGCAGTGAATTCCATCCACCAGATGGACTGCAACATCAAAGGTCCTTGGACAGCACCTTCTTAAATTTATCTCCTTCACCGAGAAGGACATGGGTGGTAAATGTATGGGAACACCGCCACATTCAAATTCACCTCTAAGCCACCCTGACTTAGAATAATGTTTGTTTTGCTATTTCAAAATCCTGAAACCCTCCCCATAACTGCACTTGGGTGTACAGAACTACATGGACTGCTCAACACCACTGTCATGAGCCAGATGATGAATGGCTATTAAATGTTGGCTTAGCCAACAGTATCCATCCACATCCGGTGAATGAGTTTTTTTTAAAAAAAAAAAAAAACTCATTCCTTTTTACTAAAGGTAGACATTCCATTAACTTAGCTAATTGCTTGTGATGCCTGCAGGCATGTTGGTGTTTTTGTTTTAGCCTCCCCAGATTGTTCCTAATACCAGCATCTTGCAGTCCCATTTTAAGATTCTGTTGTTCTGGCTTAACTTCCTTTAGGTTCACACTTCTCCACATGATACTATCTGACACATTATTGCCCACTCAATTAACTCATCCATATTGTTTTCCTATGTATTTGCTGCATCTTGGCAGCTTTTCTTGCCAAACCTGTATCCAAGACTATACCTTACACCATTACGTTGGTGACTTGAAACTGAAGTCCAAACATAAGTCTTTGCAGTACTTTGCCAGTTAATTGGCTTATTATTTTATGAGCAGTTCATGATCAATCTTGGATTGGCTAGGTATTGTATGCGCAATAAAACTCGATGCAGAGCCTAATTCTAATGTTACATTCTAATGTTTTTCTTTCGTTTTCAGATCAGAGGCTGATCAACTATCCAATGTCATTGATAAGCTGTTTGTCAATTTTGGTGTCGAAATTTTAAAGAAAATTCCAGGCAGAGTTTCTACTGAAGTTGATGCAAGGTACTATTTATACTTGAGGCTACTGTACCAGATATTTAAAGCTTATCTTCTCAAACAGAATGAATAGGTTGCCAAACATGCTTTAATACTGTCCATTCTGAGCATTTGTGCTGTGTATTAATATTTTATGTAGTATCATGAAATCTCTTGCTGACTTCTTTAGTTTAACAATACTTTTTTTGTCTTTTTTTTTAAATGTTATCTGAAAATTGATCTGTGACTCCTGTGCTAAGTCTAGATCATCATGTAGTAAAGAAATTACTTCTATGGCTGACACTTGCATCTCTAGCCTAAAATATTTTAGGCATGAAATCTAACCAAATAGATCGTGTTATGGTTTAACATAGTCTTTATTGGGAAATAAGCACACAAAGCTACAAAATATTTTATTAAACAAAAGAAATAAAAAGCTATCTAAATTCAACAGTTTGAAAGTCTTCAACCTATGGCAAAAACAATTCAATTCATGTTGTCTCAACTCCACCTCTTTCTAGGTATTTCAAAATCTAAGTTTGATGAAACTGCTTGTTCTAAGTTCTGTTCCGGTGAAGCCTCTTTCCCTGAAATAGTCACACAATTGAGACCTTGGCTTTTCATAGTCCCTCTTATCTGCAGCGTCTAATCAAACACTCCTGGTCTGGATTCTTCACATTATGTTCTTTCCCTTCTTTTTGTTTGAAGTACCATATTCCCTAACTCTTTTTTTCCTGAGACCATACTGGCATCTGACTGCAGTCACATGCCTTTGAACTGCCTGGAGTTTTTGAAGCTAGAATTATTCCTGATTATTTTAAATACAAGCAAGCTAGTGTCTATATTTCAGGAGGGTTTACAGTCATCTGCTTGCTTTCTGACAGTCACACTGATTTTTAATGTTATGGTTCCAGAAATACTGACCTAATAACTTTTTTTGTGAAGGGTTAAAAACTAAGCAATACCTATATGCCATACAGCCAAGCTCCCTTTTATTTAAAAAATACATTGACTGGGAATTAGACTCCCATTTGCCCTATTGCCACTAGGTCAAAAAATCAAATTACTTGCTAAAAGCACAGTACCTATGCTACATGGACTGCAGCAGTTCAAAAAGGCAGCTCCTTATCATCATCTCAGACAATTGTGTATGTGCAATATATGCTGGCCTTAACTGTGACACTCACCCCCCTATAGGATAAAAGAAATCTAACGTTTGTAGTTTATCAAGATCATCTGGAAGTGCCTACTTCTTTGGTTTTTTTTTAATACTAGGTTATCATTTGACAAAGATGCCATGATCCAAAAGGCCCAACGCCTAATTCAGATGTACAAGGATGCAGGAATTAACAAGGACCGTATTCTCATCAAACTAACGTCCACTTGGGAAGGTATCCAGGCTGGAAAGTAAGTTAATTTGCGGTTTTTTTTAAAAAAAAATTTTTGTATCTACATTAATGACTTTAAATGTCAAACCTAAATTTTGAATGGCCATAAATATTGCACATTTAATGTAACTTTTTGCAAGACCAACAAAATCTCTTAATAATGCCAATGTCTGTCCAAAACGTATTTGAGTACAGCTGATATAGTGGTATTATCACAAGTTGTTCTCCGTGCCACCAGATAATATACTGGGGACCTGGGTTCAGTGTGTGGCAGATAATGGAATTTTTTTCCCCACACCAATTCAACATGGTTCACTAATGTTTAGGGAAGGAAGACTGTCATCCTACCTAGTCTAGTTTGCATGTGATTCCAGAACCGTAGCAAGTGACTTTTTTTTTTTTGTATCAAGCTGTTTTTTAAAATTGTCTCCAAAGAATGAAACCTGACAGACTTGGCATCGCAAATTTCAACCCAAACCCAGCCCTGTTAATCCTTCAAATGCCCCCATTTGGGGGCATCTCAAATGCCGAAATTGGGAGAGCTGTCTCAGTTTTATAATTAAACAGCCTGGTATAGTTGAGTGCACAAAATCATACCTTGCAGGCAATGGCCCAGATATTCTGCTGACCAGACAGTCATTGCTAATGTAGATACAGGCTGCACATGGGGATCCTGTGGAATCCCCACAGTGGTACACTTCAAAGGAATTGTCCAAGAAATTAGGTTTCCTGCTGGGCAATTCCTCTGTTTCTGGAATTCTGTCTCCATTTTAAAATAGAGGGTTGCAATGAAATCAAAGTATTCTAGCAAAGACAAACTATTAAATAGCTAGTCTAACTCTTGAATCATCTGAACGCACTGGAAACTTTGGCTCTGGATCCCAACAGCATTAGTGATGGTACTGTACATATCTACTCCCGAACTTTCCATGCCTCTAGCCAAAGTGTCTCATAGCTACAATAGTGACACTGACACAATCAACATGGAAAATTGCCCTCTTGCCTTGTACATGAAAGAGAAGAAATCCAGTTCAGCTAATCACTGCCTCATCAGTAAAGTGATGGAAGGGGTCACTAATTTTGCTATTAAACAGCACTTGCTTAGCAATAACTTGCTCACTAGGGGTAATAGTTAGTATTTGGAGTTGCGCTTGGCTCCAGGACCTCACTGAAGGAATTTGTCGGGGTTGCATCCTAGGGCCAACCATCTTTTGCTTCACTGTTGAACTTATGGAGGGAAGGTCACTAATGTGATGTGCAGTCATTAGTGAATAATGCTCAACTCCATTCATGACTCCTGTTAGAAATTGGACAAAAAATGGCATATAAGGTGAGCCATTTATTTCTCCCCTAATGAGGGTAGAAGAAAACGTTGCTTGACATTGTGCTGGTGGCTTTTCATCTCTCAAAATCTGATATTGACTGAATCTTGGAATTGTGTTTTAAACTCAAACTAATAATAAAAATGTCTATTTTCTTCCCTCCTGATTTTGCTGTACTCTTCATTGTTGAGTCACTGACAAGTTTAGTGTTCCAAGTGGGGTATAGTTAAACCTGAGTACTTCTGTTCTAGGTTCCTTGAAGAACAGTGTGGAATCCACTGCAACATGACTCTGCTTTTTTCGTTTGCTCAGGCAGTTGCCTGTGCAGAGGCTGGGGCAACATTGATTTCTCCATTTGTGGGTCGCATTCTAGACTGGCATGTGGCCAACACAGATAAGAAAAGCTTTGAACCATTCGCAGACCCAGGTACATCTGTCTATCCATTGAATTCTGTAGCAAACATTAACTTATTGTTGCTACAAGTTTAACTGTGGCCTTCAGTTGACTAGACATTATTGATCACTTGGGCTCCTAATCTACTTAGGACTTTTGAGCTGACCTTAATGACTTTTGTAGCAAATGACTGCTGTAAAATTTAGAAGTAGTATCTCCTAGCACTGACTTTATCCCTCTTCCAGGTGACTGTCTGAGACTGAAGTAGGCTGTTGCACCCTTTGACTCTTCTGTGAACTTGTATCCATGCTGGCACTAAAACCAGCCTAATTCCACATCCTTAACGTGGCCTGACACCAATCTAGCTGAGCCCATTCACTGCTAAAACCTTCAATTTGACTATTTAGTGCACTTGTGTTGAACTTCCCATCTCAACCTTAACATATCCAAAGTCGTAACTTGTGTCCTATCTCCTCTGTGCTCTGACTTACTATTTTGGCTCACAGTTGAACAATGTCTCAACCTAAAATTCTCATTCTTGTTTTCCAATCCTTCAATGGTCTGGCTTTAGTCTGTCTGTAACTTCAGCCTCTGGCACCTGTGTTTCTCCTGATTCAGACTTTTTTTAATTTACTGTTGTTTCTTGGTGTTTTGGCTACCAAGATTCTGAACCCTGAAATTTCTCAACTTTTCTAGAACTCAATTTCTCATTCTTTAACGTGTTGCTAAAAAGCTACTTTCTCATTAAGGCTTCAGATCATTTGACTTGCTATCTCTTGTGTAATTTGGAGTTAACTTTTTCACAATGTTCATGCGAATTGCCTTTGAGTGGTGGTGTGGTTGTTTTTTTTTTTATTTTTTTGAAACAGTTGATATTTCAGTAACTTTAGCCCAAATACTCTCTCTGACTCAATTGTGCTGCAATATTCAGTTCTGTAGTATTGCACACTACATATCCTGTAAAATACTTTGCATAAGTTGTTCTCTGGCTCTGACCTTCTACACTGGTTCAGTGTGCAAAGTTGGGACTGAATTGAGTAGTGTTTATATGGGGCCCTTGCTATAAGCTTATTAGGAAGTGTGGTGATAAACTGCCAACTTGCAGTTTGCCTGAACTGAAATGCTCCAAACTACATGATGGGCAACTGAAACCTCATTAGTTTGGGAATCCGTTAAATAAATCCCTTAGTCTAACTTTTTAAAAACTTGCCAAACCTTTCGATCTTTTTTCTGTTTGGATTGCCTGTCTAAACATTAAGATGTTACTGTTCAGATGTTGTTTGAATTAGTGAATTAATGATAGCATTGGTTAATTTGATTTATTGTCACATGAACTGAGGTACAGTGAAAAGTATTGTTTTGTGCTAACAAGACAAATCATGCCTTTCCTAAATATAGCTACAGAGAAAGATCAACTTTGTTGAGGTTGGTTGGCTCGCCGAGCTGGTTTCTTGTTTCGCAGATGTTTCATTACCATGCTGGGTAACATCCTCAGTGCAGCCTCTGATGAAGCGTCAGTGGGTTCTCCCACCTGGTTTTAAACTCTGGGGTCCATTGAGATGGATTGCCTCACTTCCGGTTTTCCTTTGTAGTGGAATATATATGGGGGTCGAGTTCAATATGTTTATTAATAGCGTGTTTTGTGGAGTGCCAGGCTTCTAGGAATTCTCATGCCTGTCTCTGCCTAGCTTGTCCCAGTCGAAATGGTGGTTCTCCTTGTCCATGTGGATTGAGATGAGTGAGTACTGGTCGTGTCTTTTTGTAGCCAGTTGGTGTTCATGTACTCTTGTTCTTAGTTTCCTTCCTGTTTGACCAATACAGTGTTTCTCAGTCACTACAGGGGATCTTGTAGATGACATTGGTCCTGTCCATGGCGGGGAGTGGGTCTTTAGTTCGGGTGAGCAGTTGTCGTAAAGTTGATGTGGGCTTGTGTGCCACTCTGATGCCCAGTGGTCCTAAGCGTCTTGTGGTGAGTTCCGACGTGAGTCGGGGTGTGTAGTGTCTTTCTGATGTTGTTCGTGTAGGTATCTTCTGACCCAGTTTTTTTGGATATCCATTATCCTTAAACCTGGAAGAGGTTACTACGCCAAGAGGAAGAAGAATACCTCTTCCAGGTTTTCAAGGATAATGGGTATCCAAAGAACTGGGTCAGAAGATGCCTACACGAACAACATCAAGATAACACACACTCATCACACTACCCTTCATCAGGAACACGTCGGAAATCAAGACTCTTACGACTGCTGGGCACCAGAGCGGCGCACAAGCCCACGTCAACCCTATGACAACTGCTCACCTGAACTAAAGACCCACTCCCCGCCATGGACAGGACCAATGTCATCTCCAAGATCCCCTGTAGTGACTGAGAAACACTACATCAGACAAACAGGAAGGAAACTAAGAACAAGAGTACATGAACGCCAATTGTCTACAAAAAGACATGACCAGTACTCGCTCATCTCAATCCACATGGACAAGGAGAACCACCATTTTGACTGGGACAAGCTAGGCAGAGACAGGCATGAGAATTCCTAGAAGCCTGGCACTCCACGTAGCATGCTATTAATAAACATTGAACTCGACACCACCCCGCCCCCATATACGTTCCACTACAAAGGAAAACCGGAAGTAAGGCAATACATCTCAACGGACCCCCAGAGTTTTAAAAACTCTGGTGGGAGAACAGTGTCATCAGAGGCTGCACTGAGGATGTTACCCAGCACGGTTGCAAAACAAGAAGCCAACCAACCTCAACACCCACAACCCGAGCTCCAAATAATCTACTCCAAAACCTTTTTAAAGATCAACTTTCTTCAATGGGAACATTAGAATTTTGTTTTTAGAACACTGTTCTCGTGCTTGACCGTACTTTTTTAGGTACAACTTATTATACACGGATAACTCCTGTATGGGCTTTTTTTTAGTAAGTGAGTAATTTGGTCTCTTGTCACCTGATTTTATGATGATACTAATCATAATCCTTTTTATTTTTTGTTTTTTTTTTTTTTTGCTGTAGGTGTGCAGAGTGTAACAAAGATCTACAACTATTATAAGAAGTTTGGGTACAAGACTATTGTCATGGGAGCGTCTTTCCGTAATACTGGTGAAATCAAAGCATTGGCTGGCTGTGACTATCTCACAATATCTCCAAAATTGCTGGAAGAGCTTAGCCAAGACAGCGAAACACTAACGCCTGCTTTGAGTCTTAACAAAGGTAAGATGAAGGCAAAATACTGCAGATGCAAGAAATCAGAAACCAAGAATGCTCAGTGGTTCTGAATAAGACTCTCTTATTGGCCTTGAAATGTTTTAAGTTTTTCTCTCCGCAGATCCTGCTGAGTTTCCACAGCATTCTGTTTGCTACGAACAAGATGGTTTTTCAACTGAATTATCAAACCGGGCTGCCCTGCTGCTGTTTTCGTAGTGGCGATGCAAGTTTGATCAAGGTGTATGTTGGTCCCCAACAAGAATCTATTGTATTTACACCTGTAGGACTGGCTTAGTTTTGAAGGAAGATCCAGCTATAGTTGAATGGATTAAGTGGCAGACTACTTCCTTTAAAGAAAAGGATACGCTAAAACAGCAATGTAAAATGTTCCACTAAAACACTTCTCCAACAAAATTCAGCAAAAACTCCATCCATGGCTTTCTAGAGAAGTTGAAGATCGAACTGTTCTAAAGGACAAGATGTGTAATATGGCAAATAACAACTGGCCTAGAGATTTGGTTTTTTTTTAAGAAACCAGCAACAATGGGAAGAAATAATGTGATACTTGCATTCCAGCGCAACATTGAATTATAGAGAATCACCCTATAGAAATAATGGGGCTTATGGGAAGAGCAGGTTTAGGGGCAGACCACAAATTGCTTAAAATCACTCAATTCCTCCTCACCACTCAAGTATTTGTGCGTGCCTGTCACTTGTGTGAGCCTTGACACTTGTAATCAAAAAAAAAAATCTAATCACCTGCAGCACAGTTTAGTCCACTGCTGATCTGACCTGACGTTCCAGCAGCTTGGACTTCTGGATCGTGCTGTTGGTTGTGTGTTGCTTTTTTTTTTTTAAAGCAGTTTGGTTCCAATCAGTTTTTTTAGTTCTTGCATTCGAAATGATGGGGAAGGATCTCTTCAGAAAGAAAATAATCAACTAAAATCCTGGGAGGACAAAATTTCAGTATATGCAAGTGTACTTAACTATAAGCTACAGGCACTTAACTTTTATCTTAAGAGACTTATGGTTTAATGTGTTTTCTTTTAAATGCTCTAAGTTTGGTTCCTCTTGAGTTATGATCTTTCATTTTCTTTGCTCCAGGTGACTGTGTAATGATTTGAAATTTCTGTACACAAACTGTTCTTGTGTTTTAAGTTCAGGAATGACTTTTCATCTGTAGTTATATTAACAAAAAACCTAAATCCTAAAAGTTCTTATTTACTTGTGTGCAGCCCAAGCACTTGACCTACAGAAAATCGAAATGAATGAGCAGACCTTTCGGTGGCATCACAATGAGGACCAAATGGCTGTTGAAAAATTGTCTGATGGGATCCGCAAGTTTTCAGCTGATGCTGTTAAATTAGAAAACATGCTAAAGGTGTGTATGAAAATTGGCATAAAGGGTAGAGTGCTGAACTGGAATATCAACTAGGCAGAAAATTTTGGAGCTTAAATTTAACTACTCCTGATTTTTGGTTCCAAGATTAGTTTGATGTATTCCAGTCATCATATCCCTTTTTGAGGTGCAAATCTTGTGCTGCCTCATCACCTGAATGAAAGCACTGCTAACTGCCATTTAATGCCCAATGGACAATCCAGTAGTGTGTTCGGATAGCACACACTTCAGCTAACCTGCACTTCTTTACAAAGGTGGGAGGATATGTTCATAAACAGCTTCCAATTGTGCTGGAATTGATGCAAAGAGCAGCATACCAATTGGACCAGTGGTCAACTGAGACAGCTCCAGGTTTTCTAGAGGAGGTCAAGTGAGGAAAGCAGCATTGTTTCCAGAGGAGGTCCCTGCTGACAGCAACACTCCCCACTGCGCCACTCCTAAATTAGTCACTGCTGCCCCAAGCAAACAGAGGAATTGGCAGCAGGTGGCTAATGAAATCAATTTGAGTCCTGATATATGTCCAATCAACACTTTGATGAAACTCTTGCAGTACTTCACTGTATTGTTGCAGCACTCGTAACAAAAATCTAGCAATCTAGAATAACTTGGGAGGTTTATAAAATCATAAGGGGTGTCAATCGGTCGAATAGCCAAAGCCTTTTCCCCAGGGCAGGGGAGTCCAAAACATGAGGGCACAGGTTTAAGGTGAGAAAGGGGCCCAAGGGACAACTCTTTCATGCAGGGGGTGGTGTGTGTATAGAATGAGGAAGTGGTGGAGGCTGGTACAATTACAATTATTTAGAAGGCATCTCGCTGAGTACATGAATAGGAACGGTTAAGAGGGATTTGTGCCAAATGCTGGCAAATGGGATTAGATTAATTTAGGATATCTAGTTAGCATGGATGAGTCGGACCAAAGGGTCTGTTTCTGTGCTGTAAAACTGGCTATGACTCTAACACTGGCTCCTATTTTATAGGTTTCTGAGTAGTCCATTTAGCCCCTCAAACCTGCACTACTAATCAGTATGAGGGCTGAACATCCAAATTAGTACCCTGTTCCTGCTTTCACTCTCTTTTTTTTTTTTTTTTTTTTTTTTTTTTTTTTTTTAAATGTTGCAGGTAAAGGACTGCAGTTAAAGCTTCCATAACTCTAGCAAGCTTCCTGGTGGTGGTTTCCATACACGTCAGATTACACTCCCTTCAACATCACAATACTCGAACACTAAAACAAATTTGGCAAGTCAAAAGCACTTTATTGAATGGCTAGCCATTTAAATAAAGCATGTTAGCTGGGCAGTATTTAGGATGGGGCATTTACAGGGCTTGGATAGTACAAATTCAAGTAATGTGCATCAAATCTGTTTGAGGCAGTCTATCATTTGCCTTCAAATCGCAGTAGATATGCATGCTATGCCTACACTTAACACATACCAGCATGATACACTGCACAGGCTGCATTAGAAGTGTCTAAAAGCACTGTCCCTTAGCAGTGTTTTAGGTAAAAATGTGTCTTTTCATTCTTGCTAATGTGGATGTCTGCAACAAATAGATCAAGAGCACACTGGAGGAGAAAGGAAACTAGCAACAACACCTGTGGGAAATGTAATGTACTTTTAAACAAGCGCTTTTTTTTTTTTTTGTAACTGCATATCAGCTAGAAAAACCTAATAGCACTTAACTTTTCACCTGAAGTACTACTTGGTAACCAATCAAAGGCAGCATTGTTGGCATGTTTTTAATTCAGATGACTGCCTCACCATACAGTCACTTAACTAAGTTGCTACAAGTGAATTGTGTCTATATATAACAAATATAAACCTAAGAATAATGTGAATGAATGGTATACAGGATAAGCAGAGTGAAACTGGTAGAAATGGAGTGGTTGCTGCAGCTTGTACCCCACTAGATCTTAAATTCTGAAAGAATGGCATGAGTATCTGCTTTTGTATAAGGGTTGGCATGTACACTTGACTGAGTTTTATAATATGCATTGACAAAACAGACTCTTCTGTTTGTCTTGACAATTTGTTTGTTTTTTTTTCTTCTGCAGGAACGGCTTTTTGCGGCCAAGAATGGATGCTAGGCGTCTCTTTACTTACACACTTCCCTATTTTGAATCACGTGGTTTGATGGCTGAAAATTTTAACTTTCACTTTGACCAACCATGTAAAAACTACACCATAGGTTGTATCATTGGTGTACCCATTGTTGAGCAGTACTTAATGTTGGCTTGTGCAGTCTAGTGCAATTCTTTCTAATAAATGGATAAAACTACTAATGTGTTGGTTGCCTTTGCTGTGAAATTTTTATTCCTTAACCCATCAGTTCTTTTTGGTTTTTATTATACAGTAAGTATAGTCAGATCAAATTGTAGCATTGCAAGGGTGCAAGAAACTAAAGTATTTTTATATTAATGAGGTGGAAAGAGATTTGGGTAATTGCAGCGTTCTAAACGTTTAAGTTATTGGGTTGGGTAAATTGTAAGTTGAGTTATTCGTATACAAGACAGCAATCCGATTCTTCTTTGGAGATTCTGTATGGATCTGGTTACCTGTGCAATGATTGTAAAAACACTTGCTGTCCAAAGGATGATAACCAACATAGCTTGATGGAACAATAATTTTATGGCAGATTTAAGGAGGTTGATTCTGTAGGGGAAAATAAAAGACAGATAATCTAACATTATGAAAAGCCTAGTTGGATGGATGGACACTTTAAGCAGAATAATTCATGAATGTCTGGCAGCAACTTGTATTTTTTTTCCAACCTAGACCAAGTTATCAATTGAAGTACAATAGACTTGTGAAATCTTGCCTCCTTTTCTGGTAAGTGGACTGTGCAGTGCAAATTGTCATCATACAGTTTGATAGAAATGGTGAAGGATGATTGTTGAAATTCTTATCACATATGTTAGATACTGTAGCCTCTTTCCATTTTTTGGAAATTTCCACTTAAACTTAAGTTTGTTTTGAGTGAATTTTAAATCCATGACTGCAACAATTTTAACTGTCTTAAGAATATGGACTGTCCTTGGTTTTTTTACCACTGTGCCACATGGTGGAGACAATGACTATGCTGTTGCCGCTAACTTTTTTTCTTTGCAGCTTAATGTAAAATCTATTTAGATAGTTGTCTGTGTAAGACTTTCAAACTTTTTATCCTTTGGAAGAAATTGCTTGCATTTCTAATTCCATCAACAATAAAACCATTTGAATTATTTTAATATCTTTTTACCAAGTGTGGGTGCATTGAGATTCTTTAATACACTATATTTCTTAAGAGTTGCCCTGAGTCACAACCGTATCCTATTGCAATAAACTTCCATTCCATTATTCTGTTTTTTAATCAGTTATTTCTATACTGGTCTTGAGGTATGAAAAGAATGAGGAACTTGTCTCACTGGACAGGTGTGATGCAATAGAATGAAGTTAGCTGTCAAAATCTTTAGATTTATTTTATACACCATAGTTTAGGTTCCAGAGGAGCAGTGTAATAGCTAAAGGAATTAATGCCAATGTTGATTTTGTAAAGGGTCATCTGGCTAGAAGTTATCACTGTTCTGGTATTATTTTCTAGCTTTGGTTTTTTTAATCTCATCACGTTCTGACAAGACCACTGCTCTTTGCCAGGCTTCTTAGAAATATGGTTCTGTTGGGACTTTGGAAAGAAAATGTCTACTGATTTCATGTGCTTCAGCTGCCCCAAGCAACAGGTTTGTGGGTGGCTGTGCATACTTTCTGTAAGCACCTGGTATAATCCAGAAGTGAACATCAAGATTGCTGGCATGACTAATGGATCACTTCCTGAAAGTTTTCAACCAGTATTGTCGGGTATCTTGCAATCTGCAAATGATCTAGTAATTTAGAGGAAGAAATTACTACTTGTCATGGCCACCACTGAAATAACAACTGAAGGTGTTGAGTATTGTTGCAAACAGAAGGTAACTTGTTGACTTTCTTGTTTACAGGATTTTCATGTGTTTAAATCTTATTAGAGATTCATAAATAGAACTACAGGAAATAATTGCTATTTCCTTCAACTTTCCAAGACCCCAATTTCTGTGGGCTAAAAAGGTGAAGTGTGATCCAGAAGTGCTTTTGTGATTTTTGGATTTAGTTGTGTACACATTAATGGACTCCTAAAATTTAGGCTACTTAGGAGTGAAATCAAGAACACTTTTTTTTTTTTTTTTTTGTTTTGTTTTGTGACTTATCAAACGCACAAAAGAAACCTACTGACACATAAACAACATCCACACTGTGATAAAATTCATAAAGGAAGAAGAGAACAATGACTACTGGACATAATGAGCTACACAAAGCAGTACAGGAGCACCTATATGGAATCTTCAAAAAGAATGGATAGCCAAAAAGCACAATCCACCATTACTTCTGAGACCGACCACAACAGGAAGACCCAACATGACCAGACTCACTAATCACCCTACCATAAATCAACAACATTTCAGATGATCACAAGACTACTCGGACTCCTAGGTATCAGTAGCCCACAAACCAACAACCACCTTGCAACACCTGATGAACATAAAGGATCCATACCTATAACCAGCAAAACTGGGGTAATATTCAAATACCATGCAAGGACTGCGAGAAACACTACATGGGCCAAACTGGAAGAAAATTTCTGTATACAGATACATGAACACCAATGAGCTGCCAAGAGACATGATTAATTCTCAATGTGTCTCATTACACACGGACAACGAGGGATGCAAATTCGACTGGGACAAAACATCGATTAGTTGCACGAGCCAAACAGACATGCCAGGGAATTCATGGAGGCCTGGTATTCCAACCAGACTCCATCAACAAACACATTGAATTAGACCCTGTGTACAAACCACTGAGAAACAAAACCTGAAGTGGTACCAAACACCCCAACAAACCAAGGTGTATATAAATAACAACAGGCAGGACAGAACACCTGACGTCAACACGCCTTTGGTGAAGCAATGTCACCCTGCTGGGTAACATTGCTTCAATGTTTGCAACCAACCCCACCAGCTTGGTGAGCGCATCTACTTCATCCAAAACCCGAGCTACAAATCATCTCAAACTTTTAAATGTTGTAAAAATATAATGTAGGATTTTTAGCATTGAAGCAAGCCATTTGGCCTAGTAGTTCCCTGTTTACTTGACTCCTAGTCATTCTAATATCATCTGTTTAATACTTGTCCGGTTACTTAATCATTAATGTGTGTCCCTCAAGCTTTTTTCAAAAAGCTTGTTCAAGCAAACCAAATGGTTTTTGAAGATTCTTTAAATGCTTTAAACAAAGTTTGTAGTCTTTTATAGCATGTGATTTTTTTTTTATTGTTTGTTTGTAAACATCAAGGTTTTAAAAATTGCATTTTTGAAATGCTTCCATAACCCCTCCTTGCCTATCTTTTGTAACCCTGTACAACCCCATACAAACTAAACCACACTGCTGTGTATCTGGAGTCATATGTAGGTCAGACCAGGTAAGAACACCAGATTTCCTTCCCCAAGGACCTTAATGAATCAGGTGGATTTTCCCTGACAATTGGCAATTGTTTCATGGGCATCATTAAACTCTGATTTATTCATGTTAAATTCACAATCCTTCATCCCAGGTCTGTAGAAATTACCTGGGTCTCTCGGTTGTTGTTTTTTTTTTTTAATAATCTAGCAATTAATACCACTAGGCTACTGTCTAATTTGTTTGCTTTGAATATTTTTTAAACCCAGCCATTAATGATGGCTTTTTTGTATTTCATGAAGCTTTCTGCAAGGTCCTGTGGTCTTATGATTTTATCCTTCATGAGACTGAAGCAGGAAAGATACAGTTAAGTAGAACTGGATGGAAAGTCTCAAACTACAGTGCCACAACTCCATAATACTATTTGCTTGGTGGATTTTTTTTTCCACTGTGTGTACTAATCTGATCAGTAGATCTTAGCAGGACAAGTAAAATCTTAAAGGTAAGTGTTAAATCCTGTGTGGCAGGGAAGAGCAGCAAAACAAATTAGTTTTTTCAATTTGATTTTCCCCCCTGCACCATTCCCCTCTCTTTCTCTCTTCCCCCCCCCCCCCCCCCCCAAAAAAAATATTGTTTCTTCCCTCCTCTGCCTCAGACCAATTGATGCTGTGCTGGCCCAGAGCTGGTGAACTGCAGTTGGACTAAAAATTTTAACATTCTAAACATGCTAGATCTGTTTAAACAAAGCCCAGCCCTTGATGTGAAATGCACTTCACGCCAGCAGTATAGCTCAGCTGGTTGGCATGTAGTACAACACCACCACCATAGCTAAAACTTTTTTATAAAAGGAAACCAAGCCAGAAATATTTAGCTTAGACTGTCTGCAGTGTGAGCATGGTTGATATTCCAAGTTGATGTTTCATCTGAGCTTAAAAATAGAAATGGGCTTTGATCAGGTAAAGGTTTGAGGGTGGGGGCAAAAAGAAGTTTGTCTGAGAAGGATTAAAGTTGAGAAATTCTGTAATGTGAAAACGTATCATTTTGTGAGCAGCAAATTTTGTAGACCAAAATGAAAGATGTACACCTCCTCTTTCACCTTCTTCAGTTAAAATTTATGCTAGTGTATTGCTGTGGTGTGTGTATAATTCTTCATTCAGTGTAGCATTCTTCATTGTATAACTTGCCATGTACAAGGGTATTGCACATCTAATATAGTCTTTTTATAATGTACATGAGTATATTCCGGTGTTAGCAGAACAGCTGGCTCCCACGTAGGTTGACCAGAGATCTAACTGAAGACTTTGGTACAACTGCTTCTGGCCTTTGATAGAACAAGGAGGCAGCTCACCTTATGTTTGTTTTTTGTTTCCTTAAGTGAGTGGTGCATGGTACAAGGAGAACTTGTTGCTCTGTGTGTGTGTGTACATGTATATTTCCTGGTTTGATCTTAATTTTGTCAAAATTTAACCGCTGGAAAATTATGCAAGTATGACAGCTTTTGCAATTTTTAGATTTTCATTGGCTACAGAAATACTGAACTTGAATGGAAATCTAACTTGCCAGTGGGAAATTGGCATCTCGTTTTAACTCTAATTCTTTTCTTCCTTTTTTTTTCCTGACAATGGAAACACTCGTTTTAACTGTCTGCTGCAAAAGAATATTGAAATTATGGGAGGGAAAAGATCAAACTTTTGTCTTGAAATTACATAGGGACAACAAACTGCATACAAAATATAGCATTCCAGTGTAAACCGAATAACCAGTCTAAAGGATTACATGTCTAACACTTTGTTTGCATTAGAACTATCACTTTT